TGCCGACGCTCAGAAACACTCCCACAATCCGGAGCCCCTCCAAGGGGCCTAGTCGAGTACGAGCTGCCGCACCCAAGTGATGGGAGTGGCAGGTGTGGCTGTGGCAGCTGTTGCTGGAGGACCTGTCAATCAAACGAGCGGCACGCCAATGCAGTTCATCAGTTTAATCCCTCCACTCAAAAAAAGTGAGGCATCTGTCCTGAGCTTGGTAAGGCAGTATTCTCGAGCTGGTGGGCGATCATCAGGCGCATGTGGTAGGACGATGGTATGACCGCCCAATTGCTTTGTGTGTCATTGAAGATTTTGGGTAGACCGAAGGTGGTGGCCTTGTCGTTGATCACTCCACCAACATTCTTTTCAGCGATCATTCTCGCGCCTCTGTCGGTCTCCACATTCTTCACCAGCGAGAAGCCCTGCCTGGCGATGTTCTCGAGGTGAGCCCTCGCCTCTGAGTCTTCACACAACGAAGGCAACCCAGGGACATTCATGACCGAGTAGGGCTTGAACTTGTCCTTGCTCTCGATGAGGCTGTCCAGAGCTTGCTTTGCGGTGTAAATGTCGCCACCGAAATACTCATAGAACTTTTCCGCCAGGGACTCAGCCATGCCCCAATCTTCTTGTAGCATCTTCATCATGTCAATCTTCGGCACCTCCCCGATGACAATCACCTTGCTGATGGTACGTAGGTCCAGTTTGTTTGCCATCAAACGGAATGGATAGCCGAATTCAGAGGAAATCAGCATGACGCTTGCTTGTCCAGTTTGTTTCGTCCATTTTGCGATGGCTGCAACAGCTGATTTTGCTTCAGCGGAACCATCCATATCCGTCAGCCCGGGCAGCGCCAAATTGGCCTCATCCACAATGATGGAAGGTATTTTTTTCCTGCGAATGCTGTTGCGAATGAAGTTGTTCACGTTAATTTGGGCACGGGATACCACAATGTCCAGAAATCCCTTTGCTGCTTCGCCACCTCCCCCGACGTTCTTGCTGCCGAACATATTGAAGAGATAATCTATTGGCAGCTTGATCAGTGCACCCGCCAGCTCCGCTGGGAAAAGCACCCACCTGAGAGATTTTCTACGTTGGAGGTCGAGTGCTGCCATCATGCTTTTCCCCAGCATATCTGCGTCCCTCATATCCACTTCCAACATGGCCAAATTGACGCCGCACCTTTTAACCGCGGCTTCCTTCAACAGTGTCTTGCCCAAATTCTTCCCACCAAGAACAACGATCAAAGAACCATTTGTTGCCATCAGTTGGCTCAGGCAATTGATGGCATCCTCACGATCTACAGGCGTTCGTTTGGCTATGAATGCCGAAGCCCTGTGGTTGATTTTCTCAAGATATGCCGCAGCTGAAACTGTATCATTACTGCTGGCTGCATCAGTGGCAACTTCCCAAAAAGGACTTACATTCTTCAACGCACCTGCAGGAGATGAGTATCGTCGCAATTTCGATGTCCGCAACACACTTTTGCACGGTAAAACAAAGCACCGAATCACTCCTGCAAAAATCACGCTCAACAGCACAGCGCGACCATGGCGCCGCACCATGTGGGGCGAGAAACTGTTCAGATGGAAACAGTCTCTGTAAAGATTAAACAGCTAAAACGACCAAACCATTCGATGAATGCATGATACACATAACGCAGACTACTTTGCTACATTCGTGTATCAAAGCTACTGGATGCTAAACAATGTCTCCGGCTCAAACTCATTGATGCTGCACTTGTTAATTTGATGTTGGTTCTGTTTGTTCTTGTCTTACCTGCTCTTTCATGTTATCTTTAGTCTGTGTCCGTGCATGATCCCAACATGAA